GGCTACGGGAGACCGGCCCAGGTCTCGAAAAGGTTGCCGGTCCCTGTAAGCCATTAGGGAGTGCTAGTTCACTGATACGCAGTATACAAATCTACTTGCTATTGCTATAAAGTTGACCCAGTAGGGCTTTAAGTGTTGGACTACAACTCTGGAGACCAGAGTTTAAATCCCCACTCAGCCATGAAAACTGACTGAATGGCCTTCAGTAAGTCACAGTCTCTCGGCCTCAGAGGAAGGCAATAGCAAACCCCCTTGGAACAAACCTTGCCAAGAAAACTTCATGATAAGTTCGCCTAGGATCACCATATCAGAAATGACCTGAGGGTACACAACAACAACAACAACAACAACAACAACAACAACTAATGATCCTAAATATAGAATACCCTGCTGTCCTGCAGAATCATCTTGCTTGATAATCCCACAAATGTGAGTTTCTAACGACTGATTCACCAGAACTTTCTCGACAGTTTCCGGTAACATTGTAATGAAAGTAAGGGGAAATCAGTTGAGCAAAGACATTCTCTTTATGTCCTTGAAGTAACAAACAAAAACATCCAACTTATATTTGTTTCAACAGTAAGACACCTTTCTTTCAGCTCTGAGAAAAATGTTTTCCCAGAGTTCAAAGACACCAACAGATATTCTACCTGCAAAGGTGGGTCTTTGTACAACTTAATTATCCTCCATTTTCTTGATAGGCTGCTGTGAAAAATGTGCTGAGACTGAGAATGGTATCACCAGTAATACCCCAGTTATTCAGCTCTGTGTTTAATGAAAAGATTTATGAATCTGTCTACTACTGCCCTCTCTTGGACTGATCTCTGTTCTTCTGTATATGACAGGGACTGAGAGTATATCCTATATCATAAATCCCCTATCATTTGGAGATAAGTCATTTTCTTGACTATCTACGATGTTTATTAGTTATCCCTGGTCCTTAATTGCTTATTTTATTGAGTTATCATTTATTTTTATCCATTGCTTTTACTAAATCTTGTTCTAACTGTAAAATGCACTGGGATTTTAACAATCCAGAGTGGTATTATAATGTGGTGAAATAAATAAGAAATGGTGGTACCTTCTCTAATTTCCAAGACACCACTATGCCACCTCACCACATTTTATTAAAGCAAGTTCCTCCTTGAGAATGACAAATCTATTGTTCCTCCTGACCAAGTAAGCGCCGCATAACACCAATTTCCTGGAATTTTGGTCACACATGGCCACATTCTCTATCAAGGGAAACAAGGAGAACAGACAGCTCTGACATTAAAATAAGGAGTTTCAGGGATGCAACAAGCAGTGCCAGTTAGTGTCTTATATAGCAAGAACCATTACTATCCTTGTAAAAGGCACTCTGCTAACTTGCCTCAGTGAGTTGACATTTTATATTGAACATGTATTAGAATAAAGGGGCTTAAAAGCAATAAAACAGCAACAATATGACTATGGTAATAACAAGATCTTCCTCGTTCAATTATCACTTCAAAGAAATAAATTCCTTTCTTACTTGTGTATTACAAAAGGATTCCATGAACTTTACACTAAAGGTCAACAAGCTCTGGTTTCATTTCATCAGAAGAACTAACAAACTACCTGATATTTGAGTCTGGGACTTATTCAATAGCTTTTAGCCTCATCTAACCTCTACTGTTGCTGTGGGGAATCAGGATGAAACAGGCTCCCAAGTATGAGATGGACATGACCAAAGTAGATTTTCAGGAACAGCAAAAGTATCAAACGGCAAGCCACCATCTTGATTTAGCCAACAAAAATCCAAACTATGGCTGCTTGAACAACAGGCTGGTTGCATGCAAATTATCCTTTCATTCTAGGCATTAAGATCACTTATAAATATAGTCCCAAAATGCAGATCTACTTAAGATCATCATATTGATCAGTGATGGTGATGGAAAGGTCCAGGGGGGCAGTGAGAAAAAAAGGGTATAGTGGTTTGAGTATTAGACTAAGACACTGAGAGACCAGGATTTGAAACCCAGCTCAGCCATGGAAACCTACTAGGTGACCTTGAGCAAGTCACACCCTCTCAGCCTCAGAGGAGGGCAATGGAAATCTCCCTATGAAGAAACTTGCCAAGAAAACCCCATGATAGGTTTGCCTTAGGGTTGCCATAAGTTGGAAGTGACTTGAAGACACACCACAGCAACAAAGGGGAGCCTTCAGTCAAAGTACTGGCACAGAAGAAAGACAAGGGGAAACCTATGGCCTTTATGACTATGATGGGGGTATGGGTTGCATGAAACGTCTTTTTTCAGAGCCCCTTAAAACTACAGCACAGTCTTATTGATCACAAAGGCTGGTACAGGCAAGCAAAATCTCTGTTGCTGCTTAATCAATTTCTCAGTTGCTGCTCCCAATGTGACCAAGTGCAAAGGGAGCAGCAACTGAGATTGGTTGTATTGAATTTTCATGTAAAACAGTAGATCTAATATCAAGAGATAGTTGTTGTGGGAGCACTAGAGTCTTTGCCCAAGAGGAAAAGGGATGGTAGTCCGAAAAAGTTTGGAAACCACTGATATAGATGTATGTCTCCTATATTATATAGCACCATCTTATGTGTGAAAGACTCAGAAAATAATCCTTTCGGGAAAGCATTCTCTGTCTGAAGGCCTATCCATTCCAAGCCCATCTTAAAAATAAAAAGCCACAAAAAGAGACAGCAGGGACCTTGAATAGTTTGTACCTGGACAGCAGACTCAGCAGGAACACAGGTCACCTTGTTAATACTGGGCCCCACTATGGTGAAATTCGGGGCCTTTGCAGACTGCTAGAAATAGTGCAAATTGAGTCCACTTTAACTGCCCTGGCTCAGTGCTAGGGAATAATGGGAATTGTATTTTTTCTGAGACATTGAGCCTTCTCTGTCAGAGAGCTCTGTTGCCACAATAAAATACAATTCCCATGATTCCCTAGCACTGAGCCAGGACAGTTAAAGTGGACTCAATTTGCACTATTTCTGGCAGTCTGCAAAAGCCCTCAGTGTATTTAAATGACAGTTATGATTTCCAAATTGGCATCTATGTATGTTGTGAAGGTCTTCTGCTTACCTATTCCACCTCTGTCACAAAATGTGAGGGCTTTCACCTATCTCCCCTTCTACCACTAATGTGAGGTCCTCCTCCTGTCCCACTGCTATGGCATCAAATGTGAGGACTTTTTAGATGCCCTTGTGGTTCCTGTGCAAGACCTTATTCATCTGATCTCCCCAGTAAACACCACCACCCTGTATCAACTGTTGCCACTGCAGACACTATGTGTAAGCTCAAGCTTTCCAATATGTAGCATTCTTGCAGGCTTGAGTATGTAATAAAAATAATGTGGCATCACTAGAGAAAGCAGGGGGTGAGGACCACACCAGGTGACACCCTAAGGAAGGGTGACACCACTGCTCCACAAATACCTACCTTTTGGCAGAAACAAGCAGTGGCATTCACCTGCTTCCCTTTACAATGCTTTAAGGGATGGTGGGAGTGGGGTG